TCGTTTTTTTCGATGGTTAAAAAGAAAAAGCTCAGCTACTCGTAATTAGAGTGGCGTATCAACGATATTAAAAACCCTATCGTTGTAGTGTGTATACATATAATTTAAGTATATACATTGTAAGTTTATTACGGTAACAAGTTACATTTAACTCTACAAAAAAGGTAGTCCAGATAAAAATTAAATCAAACCAAAAAGTATAATCCAATCTAAAAGCTGGCCCAATTTTTACAGCATGAAAGAAGGCAATATTAAACAATATAACGATTAAAATATTTGTTACCATTAACACAAACAACCGTGCTATTCTGTATTGAACACACTTTGAACCACGGAATCCGCGGTGAGGTTTAAAATTAGAACACGAATTTCAAATAAAAATTTCAAATCTCTATGGCAAAAGCTACAGTCATAATAAAAATAGAACCGACTTTAAAAAGAACTAAAAATAAAAAAATAAGGTTTTAAAAGAAACAGTTTTTTAAGACTGTTACATTTTTTTCAAATTTTTGAAGTTATACTTCTTTAGCCGCGTTATGAAAAAAATATGAGAGTGAAATTTTAAGATGCACGCGCATCACTGTAACACAAAAGTAACATAATGACACGGTAATATTATCTATACAGTATTGTGACTCCACCCTGTCCTTAAAAATAAATGCCTACGGCCGAGCGCTGCGTTAGCACGCGGTAGGGCCGCCCGCCTACAGTATTTTATGTAGTTTTGTTTTTAACGCGAGTGTAGGTAGATTACTCGTTTGTCTCTTTTTTCATCCTAACCACTTATTTATATATTATTCCAGATATTTTGCCCGATGGAAAAACCGAAATACCAAAATATTAGAAACAAATTACGTATGAGTAGATAGGTATATAAAAAATCACACTAATATATTATAAAGGCGAAAGTTTGTGAGTGTGTATGTTTGTTACTTCTTCACGTCTAAACGGCTGGAGCGATTTTAATAAAATTTGGTATGGAGTTAGCTGATACCCTGGATTAACGCATAGGCTACGTTCTACTGCGGAAAATATCCTTAATAAACCGCGGGTAACACTGCGGGGTACATCTAGTATTCTATAAAGGTAAGACACCTTTCCAATATTTCAGGTAATTTAAAAAATGATATTTCTGGGTGTGTTATTGAAGAGTTCAAGCAACCAAAAACAGCAATTGTGCTATAGTACGATATTGATCGTCGTTTGTTCTTTTCCATACTAAATTATGTAGGTATCTACTTAATTAAATCAAATATTTACAATACAAAACGCACGTTTAAGCACGGCTAACTGCATAAAAAACAATTCAGACCGTTCGGTCGTCGTTGCGGCGCGGGCGGCGGCGCATTCGCGACTGGGTGCCCGCCGAGAGCACATCGATCTCGAGCGGCGTAGGTATGACTCGCTTTCCGACCGTTTGTATGAAGATAGAATACTGTATGATATTATTACCGTGATAATGAAGTTAGCCGCGGGTGCGTTATGAAAAAATGATGAGAGTGAAATTTTAAAATGCGCGCGCAACACTGTAACAGAAAAGTAACACCATGAAGTCGGCCGCTAAACCGCACATTACTCGTAAGTCTCGAAAAAAAGCTTTCAACAAAATAGTAATAGGATCTCTTAGTCGCACATGTTGGGGACGCTCGTCGCCTCTGATCACTGTTTTCATATTTATAATATTTATTATTTAATAAAACTGTAAGAATGTGCGGGAGGGCGAAGGGGGAGTGTGAGAAGACTGACGTCAAATAAAGATAGGTAGAAAATACTTATATTGTGATTACTATTCAATATTTGTAGGAGAAATGGTATTACTGTATCCCACAAGGGTGGAAGTACATGTATACTATTATCAAGTCACTAAGACGTCCCACGTGGTGGAAGCGTATAGCGATAGCGTGCAAGACAATAGGCCCTACCTACGAAGCGATGACATGGTCAATTTCCCAAGAACACCTTATACAAGTGGTGTCAGTATAGTATAGCACGATTCACATGCGTACAGCGCCATCTAGTAGCGGTCGGCGTGATGATATTTGATCCTATGATGTGCCATACAATCGGTGTCGGTATAGGATAGCGCGATTCACATGCGTACAGCGCCATCTAGTAACGGGCGCCGTGATGATATTTAATACTATGGTGTTACAAAAATAATGGTGGATTATTAACCACTTAGTGGTTAATAATCAACCATTATTAGACATCTGTTCGAAAGGTACTTTGAACGATTCACGGAGCTCCATAAGATGATCGCGTTGTCAAAAACAATGTTGGCACGCTCGTCGCCTCTGATCACTGTTTTCATATTTATAATATTTATCCACATGTTTCTATATAGACACAACGTGTTTTAGTTACTTACAAGTGCTAATTACATATGGACTAATAACTTAAATTCAGTAGTGATTTTAATTGAATATTTTGAATATTTATTTAATTTTTCAAATTAAAACTGAACTTAATTGACTGTGTTAACTATCCTTTTCCAGTCCTTTTATTATTTTATTGTAATTATTAATTATTTGCATGCAATTAAAAAAATATTTTTAATGATGCTAAAGAAGTATAACTTCTCACGCGCGTACATAAGTTACACGCATCCATTTTTTTTTTGTGTAGTACGGAATACACTCCTGGTTGGAAATTTTACCCGCGTAGATCGATAGGAAGATTACACTTACGCGCGCTTTTCCAATCGATCTACGCGGGTGAAACCGTGGGACACAGTATAGTACCTACATACTAAAACCTTCCCTGATAAATACCATTCATATACCTAAAAAACCCCACTCAAATCGGATCAGTAGTTTTGAGACGGACTAACATGCATACAAGGTGACACTGCGAACATGCTTTTTTGAAGTCTTTTAAAAAGTGAGTTTGTTCTTATAGAATAGCACTGCACACTAAACAGATTTTTAGTTGCTATTAAGTAATACTACATACCTATTTTATAAACTGCACCTACTGTAGTGGTTGTCACTAATCGTAAACGTATTATAGATTTTGAACGAAAATATCGATGCCATCGTTTCCATTTGAAACTCGTTAAAAATAGGCACGTTAATTGACACTGAGATCGATGCATTTGAGGCGATGCGTGCGGTCTTGAACAAATATACCGTATCCCTTACCCCGTTTAGAGATGCAGATGAGATCCCGCTACATTAACGCCAAATAAAAAAGTAAATGCAATTCTTTTTTTATTTGGCATTGGGATGCAATGTTTTTGTTTGTAGCGACAAAAAAACTTTTACCCCTCCATTTGAGATCCCTTGAAGTTGTAAAAATTCTCGTACATCCTGCCTGACCATTTGTTATTTTTTTGGTAATTAGCACTTTTTTTTAACTTTGTGTTAAAACGCACGACTGTTATTATTTTTATTTAAAAAAAATATTTAAAACGTAATACTTTTTGAATTTTATTTTGTAGTAAAATAATTTCTTTTAATTAGGAACTTGTCTTATGGGGCTATAACACTTGGTCGGTAGCCCGAATATGAGCGCCAATAGAATTCAGGTAAACAACTAAGTGTAAAAGAACGGAGTCAAGTACGCCCCGTATTCGGGTAGTTTTCTTTTGGGTTATCCCACACTGTGTTCCAGCCCGTATTCCAGTGTAAGTATTGCTTCAGGTGCCCGAATTCGAGTAATGTCTTTCTTACACCCGAATACGGGCTAGCGACCAAATGTAATTGACCCGTTACTTTATGTGTGGAACCGTGTTAAATTTTATGGTCTGATATTATGCTATAAAAAGCTACTTTAAATAACTGCGTTTGTATTCGTTCACATTAATAATAATGTAATCAAAATAACTTAAAACCACAATAAGTCATTTTACCTACATTAAAATAAACCTATAGGAAAATATGTTCTATAGTTTGTCGTATATTTTTTGACATTCTTTTATCTAATTGTGTCAATGGACGGCGCAAGGCGCCATTTCTTCATTCAAAGTCGATTGCAATTAGACCAGGTATTACCTTTATGTTTAAAGTTTATCTTTAGAAAGAAGTTAACCAAATTCAAGCTCAATTCATAAAAAATCTTGCAAAGCTAAAGGGTAACTAATATTCATGAAATGGTTGTCAATTCAATTAGTATATTTGCAGTTCCTTAGTAGGTGCTGAAATTATTCAATTAATTAAAGTAAATTAATTCCTTCGGAAACTATCTGGTATCGATTCCAGCATGATTCTCTAAACCTAAACTTAAATTTGACAGCAGTGTATCGTTGTCATTCTACATACAGAATGAAAAGGAGAGACTGATCTTAAATTTAGTTTTAAGTTTAGATAATCACGCCAGATTCGACATCATTGGGTAGCCATTTATGATTTCTCTAGATAACTTCTTATGATAGTATTTATCATTTCTCTGGATAGTTTAATAACTTAAATAACTCTTAGCAACGGATATTCAGATACTATTGCGATCTACGAATACAAAACTTTTTTTAGATAGGTGCTTTGTAAGTTCGCTTAATTTTACGTATGCCGATATTTTATACACTATAAAAACTGTGGTTGGAAAAACTACCATTTTTTGCATGAAATTGTTGGCACTCTGAGATTGATTTTCAACAAAGATGTAAGTACTTACTTGCGATTAAGTAGGTCTTCGCGGTTCATATTTCTGTATTTTTATTATACGATTAATCCGTCAATTATTATGAATACATTTTGTTGATTTTATTTTTAATTAACTTTTTTTTTGTAGAAGTGATTGAATCACTTCGAAAAAAAAATTTAACGAATTTGATGAAGATCATGAACTTTCTGTAGACCTAAATATTTCATCATTTTAGCATCAATTTAAGTATATTACCGTTCTTTATATTTTTTAGATAAAGGCATAAGCAATATACCTTCAATACCTTTTTTACATGTTAATTGGGTACTTTAACAGAGCCAATAAAAAAAAATATATGTATGTAAATTACTTGTTCAAAATCTTTGAAAGAATATAATATATTTTTATTATATCTATAGGCAGGACCGATGGCGCAATACCAGCTTTTCACCGAACATATTCTGGCACAGTTACCTGAATTCCGACACACCGATGTTAATATTATTATCAGGTATATTAATATTCAAATTAGACAAACGCGAATTGATTTTTTTTTTGCTGAATATAGCAACATACATGATTTTTTCAAGTACACGACGCTTTCATGATGATACATTTAAATATTTTTTTGCATAATTACTATGTCAACTACCTATTTGAACTGATGTTGTAACAAAATCACATTCCTTTTCTATGATTGCATGAAAGCGAAACATGTGTTTGAGAATCCAATGAAAATTTTATCATAAAATGTATTGCGTCCTCTTGAATCCTCAATGCCATAAGATATAATTTAATAATTTAAATTCATAGAAAACCTTCTGCCTGCTCCACACTAGTGCCGTGAAATATGTTGTGAATTCGCGCCGTGTATTACCATCAGTGGTGATGACTCCGAAATCTGTAACCGCGAAAACCATCCACATTCACGTACATGTACGTAGAGCCGGCATTAGTTTTTATAAGTTCTCGGCAACGTGATAGGTAGAAAATTTTGGTAATGACTGCTTTTTAATGGTGTATGATATAAAAATAGTTTAATTACTCTGTGGGCCACGATTTTCAGGCATTCAGGATTCACATATTCGCTGGCGAGTTTATTATTTTTAATCGTTTGGATGTGCGACTATGCGAATTCTATTTTATAATTAAGCTTTGTATCGTAAGTATCCTAAGTATGAATGAAATACATTATTGAATCATAAAGTACTTTAATAGGTAAACTTTTTTGATAATAGATATTATTTTTCCCTGTCGCTGCTGCTTCGAGGCTTCTTTTGGGTGTAAAAAAGGCGAACATAATTTTTCACAATATTTAATAAATAACTACGACATAACATAGCTGTCAATACACATTTAATAATATATTTTACCTAAAAAACTGTTTGAACAATGATATATTATTTCTACAGATATTTGACGTTCATAGTAATTGCGTTTAAAATCAGTTCCAACCATGTTCCAAGTAGTTCCAACTTCAAATGTTACGCTTCAATGATATGCAGTGTCAAACGCTCCCATTGGCCTGTTTTCGAGTCTTCACAGCGTGCGCGCTTATTATGACATGTCTGCTTTTAGATAATATCATTGAAACTGAACATATTTTTTCTGTAATACAATCTGACATTTTCTAAAGTTAGGCTTTATTTTATAGTTTTTTTTTTGATTATTTTTGATGAGTTTTTATTTGTATGTTTTTTTTTAATTATGAATGTACATTATGCTAATGGAAACCAACCATGCTAATGGATACCATGCACTATGTTTTTTCTGTATAATAATTCATATTCTATAAACCTAAGCACATCATTCATTATACACAAAAATATAATAACAGTAGTGCTATTCCGTAAGGTCAAACTCACTTTTCACTTCGGATTCCGCAGTGTGATTTGAAATTAGAATACGAATTTCAAACATTCAACACTCTAATTTTCAAATCACACCACGGATTCCGCGGTGAAAAGTAAGTTTGTACTTACAGAATGGCACTGCTGATTTTGTATATGGTTACCCACTTATAATTCATTAATAGTACATTATACCTTCCTATTTGTTTCCTTATTAATAGCCACTCAATTAGAATATTCCCACTATAGAACTTCCAACAAAGTTACCTGAAGCACTTAAAACGCCATCAAACTACCGCTTAGCGAAAGAAGTGAACATAATTCAGTTACGAACTCACGATGCAGCACGCAACCATTCCGGGCGTCTCTCAACAAGTCGTGGTTTAGAGCAATTTATACCATCGGCGGGTCCATGATCTATGAGCGGTCGCGATGACAGCTTCGCCGCTCTAGGAACGGGTAAAGAGAGCATATTTTTTAAAGTGCTTTTTAAATTGAGGGGCCGTTGACTGCGAGATAGTGCGTGTGACGGACAACAAACAGAAGTCTTTAGCTAAATAAAATGTTCATCAAATAATATGGGAAAATATCTACCCATATTATTTTGGGTATATTTGTGGATTGATATTGAAACGGTTAAGCTGATTTAGAGGAAATGATTATAAGCTTAGTGCATATAAAAATTTCCTCTAAATTTTAATAGTTAATTTTTTTTTATACTTATCGGTGAAAAGAGACCCAGATAAAAGAAAAAAATAATTTCTTTTTTAGGGTTCCGTAGTCCTGATAAGAAAACCTTATAGTTCGTCATGTCCATTTGTCCGTCCCCGGTTTTTCTGGGAGACTATTAGCACTAGAGAGCTGTAATTTTGAGGAGATATGTATATCGATCGACAAATGGTAGAATAAAATTATGAAAAAAAAATCTCAGGTTTGCTCTACTACATGTCACGATGGGGAAGATGATGAAAAAAACCCGGGATGGTTTTTTTCATCATCTTCCCCATCGTGACGGAAACTGTTGAATAGGTCCTTTGAAATTACTTAGGAACCCCTAAGTAATTTCAAAGGACCTATTAGGGGTCTTAGGATCTCCTAAGACTATTTTTCGATTTAAGGATCCGTTTGCGAAATATTTTACATTAAAGTGCTAATTTTTGTTTGAGTAGGGCTCCCCCCCCTCCCCCCCTCTAAAGCTAAACTATTGGCTTGAAAACCTGGAAAAATTTATGATATTTTTAGCACACTTTTAGTCAATAAGCGTCTGACATAACCTTGCAGCTGGCTGTAGGGTATCCATGAGCATTTCACACCGGCTCCCCGCCTAAAAGTAAACAAAAAAAAAATTGCAGTATTCATAGGTATTTAAAAAAAATCGAATTGATTTTGAGTTTGAGACGCAGTTTAACTTTGATTTAGGTATTTTAGTTGAGATACATAGATTGATATTAATTGGTTTTTCTAATTTCGCGATATATAAAATAAAGACTCCTGCTTAATTATATTGTGGTAACTACAGGCACCTACGGAACCCTACACTGCGCATGGCAGACACGCACGCGATCCAAAAACAGACGAAGTTACTGGCAAAAAATGATAGAACAAAAAGTTCTTCATGCAAATCAATAATGAAATTTCAATATGAAATAAGCAGTGCCCTTGTACAAATTTCCCGTTCCTTTTCTACTTACCTGTTTTATTGTGTGTGTACTAAATTAGTAAATAAATAAATAAATGATAGTTAGACATAGGAAGTATTTGAGGCATTTAGATTTTGTTCTTAAAGGCCTTTGCTAAATTGAACATTTTTACAATTGCGCCGTATAGGTACGTACCGCGAACAGACACGTAGCAGATGCTCGGTTCTCAATCTGTAGTGATCTACATATGTGCCTACAGGCACACCTAGATATTCAGTCTCACACACAAATTAGGAAGCAATCATTCGAATATTTAACGTTACATTATTAAGCCACAGAATAAATCACACATCTGATTTAAGCATAGAATAAATCAGGTGTGTGATTTTATTACATTGAGTTTTAAGGCATGCCATTTTATATTGTATTGACTACATCTCCATAAAAGCGTATAAAAATTTAGTTTAAAAATCATTACAATTTATTGATTTCGTCATGAAATCGTAACTAGCGGACTGACAATAAATCTGTTGTACAATTATAATTGTTAGTAGTTACCTACGCAAAAGTTGGCATTAAATCAAAACTTCTTAATCTTTTTTATTTTTTTTTTATTCGGTAATAGGTAAGCGCTTGACCATAATTCGCCTGATGGAAAGCAATATTATGGTCTCCGATGGAGCGCGCTTACCTAATAAAAACCGGTTCACTCTTGCTTTGAAGACCGCTAGATTGTAGTGCTCGGGGAACAAGGGAAGAAAACTAAAAAGAAACTTTTAGAACTCTTTAAAGCATACGGCTTCAGAATTAGTCTTGTGTGTGAACGTGAACCTAAAATTACAAAGATTTTTATATTTTAATATGTACCCTACCTATAAGACAAGTTTGACTGTTTCAAGAGCGGTTTAATTTCGTGGTTCCAGGAGCAGCATCGATGTTCGCCGGTATGAGTCTGGGAGGGTCCAGCATTGGGCTGGGCGGCTTCGGGTTGCCCACGCTTCCCCCCGACCGCAAGGTGTACGCCTCTCCTCTGCCCACACCGCTCCCAGCGCTTGGCAGCACCTCCTCCACTCCCACTCCTGCGCCAACGCCGACTACGACCCACGCGTATTATAGTACAAATTTTTAAATTTCTTTACCTATTTCCGTAGCCATCCTCAGATACTTGAAAATAAGATTGCATGCGGTAGCCAGAGATGTGAATTTAATTAAATGCTTAATTATGTAATATCGTGTTGTCTGATCTTATGGCAAAAAAAGTGATTATAGCAAGTACCTATAATCAAACTTCAAAGTTAATCGCGTCTCTGTGCTCTCATTTAGCTTGTACAAGTACATTGCACTACTTACTTATATCAACGGCGACAACTCGCGCTAGGCGACATGCGGCAACAGGTTCTCTGGAACATATAGATGTAGCAATGTCTTGTAGAAGTGTACCATAGCGGTGTCTGTATGCAGCGGGTCCCCCAGGTGCAATGCATAAAGGCAGCATTAGTAAACACACAAGAATTATACAAGACCATATATAATGACCAATTGACCAACTTTACCATCAGTGTTGCTTGTGCATACTTGTGAGCTTAAAGACATCTTGAACTCTGAGGCAGCTACATAGGCGTTTATTAAGTAGCCGTTTTCCACCTGGGCCGGTTCCTAAGCTTGTTCATAAGCACCGTTTTTTACGTTTGTACCGATCCCAAACCGTCGCGTCGCTAGCGCGCCGGTGTCCCATATCCCATTGTACCGAATGCACCATTGACTTGCATCATCAATGGTGCAGATAAAACTGATTAGTAACGTTTATATGGGAACCACAATAGGTACCTATAGATAGTGTCATCTGCACCATTATGATAATTATAATTATACTTTAAATACGGTTATATATACCTACTTAGGTAATTCGCTTTGCATGTTATATTTTAATTTTACAATTTTATCTAACTAGAGTAAATTTTCGTAATAACAATGAGTGAAACTTTTATTGCACATAATCGATTATTAAAATTTGTTTTTTTTTATTTGGCATTCATTTGTTTTTTTACCCATTATTTTTTTATGACGTGAGAAGAAAGGGGAAATGGTAGTATTCATAAGGTGCCAAGGAAACCAATCAGTTAGATCTGCAACATTATTGGTGCAAGTCAATGGTGCATTTGATTTAACGCTGATTTAAGTATGACTGAAACACTGAAACTGTATTCAAGTCATATTATCTTACCTAATCAAAGAATATTATTCTTAAAATTATAAACACTAAAGGAAACATCTCCATAGTGTTTATTGTGTTATAGTATCGTTCTTATAGTACCGTTATCTTAAAAACATGTTATATTTTCTAATTATAGTTACTTTAAAAAATATGTATAGGGTTATTTAAAAATTAAGTTAGTGTACACCACTTGAATGTTGGATATTCCACTAAAAGATTTAAATTCTACCTATGCTGTCAGGCTGACATAGTTAAGTCCTTTGATTATTTACTCCCTAGATAGAGCGTGGCAGCACAGAAGCGTTGAAAAAAATATCTCCCACCTGGTGGGGTTTAAGTCGTTCCCTGTCACTTAGTGTTCAATGCAACAATGAGCCATACGGACGTCAATTACCGAGTTTCGTTTTGAAATTATTGCTTAAAAATGTTGAGTTACGCGATAAAATTTTACCGAAATTATAAAGGACACATAAAAACAACCAACCAAGCCACTTACCATCGACAAGTAGCTCATAATTCACCTTAAAAAAATAAAACAATAACATCATATTAGTTAAAAAAAAATAAGACTCCATCTTGTCATTTTCAAAGTGATGTCAGTGTCTCATTACAAAATTAGCCAAAAAATAGTAAGTATGGCGTAATCAAAAGTAACTTGTATAGAGATCCAAAAACCCAGAAAGAGCTTCGATTAAGAAAATACGGATTACGAAAAAGTGAAGTCTGCAATTTTAATTTCATTACATTTATCATAATAAAAAAAAAAATTTGCTCTTTCTTTCTATATTATCATGACTGTTATTTCCGTAATAAAGTGTTTAAAGTAAATAAATAAACTTTCGTAAAAAACATCCAAATATAAAATACGGTAAACAGATATTTGAACAACTATGATTTTTAATCGTGTGAACAATATGCCCAATTTTGCGGAACGTGGCCTTACCTGCTAATAAACAATCATAGCACAATACATACAAGACCGGTAGCGTTTCATTTAAAACATGACATCAGTCTGTCCTTTTCATTCCTTATTAAGCATGACAAGGACAAACTGTTGTCAAGTACACCGGCATAAAACTTGTTACTCTGTGGTTGTGGTGCATGCAGTTTGCATTCGTAGTAATCTGTGACTGTGGCATTCGTGCATTCCAAAGAGTAGTTTAATATACCGGAAAGTGCATTCTCGTTTCGGATTACCTGTTGTGTGTGTTTATTTTCATTGTTTTGCCTTTAATTTAACTATTTCGGCTATCTAATATGCCATCGATGTTACCAAAGAGCAGAGTCCTTATTACCGAGTGCTAGTGAACCAGTGCCACAACATCCTGAGAGGATCATCATCATCATCATCATGTCAGCCGTATGACGCCCACTGCTGAGCATAGGCCTCCCCCAAGGATCTCCACACCGATCGGTCCTGCGCCACTCGCATCCATCGGCTTCCCGCGACCTTCACAAGATCGTCGGTCCACCTTGTGGGCGGCCTACCCACAGAGCGTCGTCCGGTGCGTGGTCGCCATTCCAGAACCTTTCCGCCCCAACGGCCATCGGTTCTTCTTGCTACGTGCTACGTGTCCCGCCCACTGCCACTTCAGCAGAGCCATCGTTTGAGCGATATCGGTAACTTTGGTTCTCCTACGGATTTCCTCATTTCTGATTCTATCGCGTAGGGAAACACCAAGCATCGCTCTCTCCATTGCTCGCTGCGTGACCTTGAGCCTTCTTATGAGACCCGCAGTAAAGGACCACGTCTCGCTTCCGTAGGTCATCACTGGCAACACACACTGGTCAAAGACTTTTGTCTTGAGACACTGAGGTAATTTGGACGCGAATATTTTTCGTAGCTTCCCGAACGCTGCCCATCCGAGCTGGATACGACGAGAGATCTCTTTCTCAAAGTTGGACCTACCTAACTGGACTGTCTGTCCTAGGTAGACGTAACAGTCGACAACTTCGAGTGTAGTGTTCCCAATTTTAACTGGAGCGGGTAGTACATGGGCATTTGACATAATTTTCGTCTTCTCCATGTTCATCTTAAGACCCACTTTTTGGAAAGCACTACTAAGATCTTCGAGCATCGTGTTAAGATCTTCCAAGGTCTCAGCCATAAGAACTACATCATCGGCGAAACGAAGGTGCGAAAGGTACTCGCCATTGATGTTAATGCCTCGTCCTTTCCAATCCAGAAGCTTAAAAATATCCTCCAATGCAGCTGTGAACAGTTTCGGAGATATCACATCTCCCTGTCTCACGCCTCGCTTCAATTGGATAGGATTGGAGCTCTGGTTCTGTAATCGGACTGACATAGTGGCGTTTTCGTAGAGGTACCTTAATACCTCGACATACCTGTAGTCTACTTGGCACCTTTGGAGAGACTGTAACACCGCCCAGGTCTCAATCGAATCGAAAGCTTTCTCATAGTCCACGAACGCCAAACAAAATGGCAGATTATACTCTTCGGTCTTCTGTATAACCTGCCGCAGCGTATCATCAGCGTATCATCTGAGAGGATCATACTGCCAAATTATTCAAGAACACTTGATACACATTCACGCTGCATATTTACACAATATACATGTGATATACAAATAAATACAATAGACAATATGATACAATTATGTGAAAAATAGTCAATACATAAGAAGCAAAACTACAGTTTTTATTTTATTCATGATTCCTACCTAACCAAGTTTTTCCTAATAGTTATTCTTTAAAATCGCACCAAATAAAATGAATTAGTTGTAATATTAATTCACTTCATACTGAGTTCATACTAAATTCATAGGTTGACCTATGTTTCATTGAATATTAAACATAACCTCAATTTTTTTTTATTTTTCCTAATAATTTAAGTTCTCAGAAGTGTCCGTCAATAATCTTTGTTTTTTGCAGTCATTTACTTACGATTTTGAACCTAGAAAATAATTTTTCATGATTGTTGGTTCTTAGGCTAACTATGTATGGACGCTGAACAATGTCCTTTCCTTTTATTATTTGGCAAATTTTTGAGATTTTTCAATTTGACCTTAGATTTGGGGGGGGGGGGCATGTCCCCTGTGACCCCCCCTTCGGACCGCGCCTGCCGTGTAAATGACGTTTGTCTGTGTGCTTGCCTCGATTCGGGCGCTAGTATGAAGTCGGAGTAATGCTCTTGTATGTATTGTGATCATAGTGCGCATGCGTAATAAATAAAAATCTTACAAATGCGCACCGAAACACAAATAATGACATTTCGCGAGTGTAAGATACAGGATTCGCGTGTTTTGTTTTGCGTATCACGCACACAAGGATATAAAACCTGGCCTGTTTTTATCGCAGTGTTTACAAGGTGACGCTCTATCTAGAGAGTAAATAATCATGAGGGTAAGTCATGGTTATTATTGTTAAAGGAAATTGAGGTCATGATTCTCAAAATATACTTACAAACAACCCTTGCAAACAACGTTATAAGTTTTTAGGTGCAAGCATGAATTCTTAATTTATATAAGTATAAGACCTATTTGCAATGTGACCAGAGTTAGTTATTATACTGGACCTGATTCTAGTGTGATTCTTTAAACCTAAAACTAAATTAATTTGACAATGGTACTTATATCCTTTAGTTCATTAATAGAGAACTAAAGCGCCTTCATCTGCGTGTAAAAACCTCTAAATAAACATCCCCTTTTAATTCCCATAAATAGTTTCATATAAATCGGTTCAGCCGTTGAATATGAATTTCATAATATTTAAATATAAATGAAAAGATTAAACTGTTGGCAAATTAAGTTTTAAGTTGAGATGACAATGGTGTCGATTCTAGCGTGATTCTCTAAACTTAAAACTAAATTTAACATCAGTCTCTCCTTCTCATTCTGTACAGATAATGACAAGGAAACACTGTTGTCAAATTTAAGTTTAGCTTTAGAGAATCATGCCAGAATCGACATCAATGTCAGATTCAGGCCCACTATCTGTGCCAAAGTAATATAGTTAATTTTTTACAATTATCTAAGTATCTCTTTCTGTTTTGGTAATATGTAAACCGGTCTGAGATTATTTATTTAACGCATACAAATAAACACTTATTATGTATGTTTTGAAAACAAGATTTTAATGAATCAGTTTAGAATCAATGCTATTTGTAGAAACTAAAAGATTTGTAATTTATTTATAAATTATACCTTAGGATCATGAGACTCACATGAAAGAAGAAACCTTTTTTTGCATCTAAAGCATTGTAAATACCGACTAAACCAAAATAGTTAATCAATCATATGGTTCATCTGTTGCTATGCTATTGTTTTAAAATCAGATTGAACCCCCAAGTAACTAACGTTTTCATCATTGTATATTTGAAATAATGTAATACTATTGTGAAGAAAGTAAAAAGAAATGTATCTAAAGACATGTAGATATTCATTACATGTGGCTCTTCTAGAATTATTAGAAATATGAATTTATTGTAGTTGAACGATTTTAGTGGGTCATTAAAACTAAATAAAACTTCTATGGCTAAACTTAATTTATTGTGTTAGGTTTGCAACCTTAAATAGATAAAAATTGTGCTTTATCTTTTTATACTTTTCTAAGAAACTTTTAAATCAGTAAGTAAATTTTTCCATTTAAAATATCGTTCTTCGTTATAGGTACTTACTATTTTTATCTGAATGTACTATCTATTAACTATTATTACATTAAATATAGTTTATCTACAATGCTATTAAAAAGTATTACTTTAAATATAGTTTATCTACAATGCTATTGACCCTAATTGACCAAATACACAATGACCTATAGTGCAGTCAAAATAGACATTTGACTTAGTTCGCATAGAGCTGAAAATTGATAGAAACGTTCCCCTATTCCCAGTAATCTTATTAGTTGAACTACTGGGAATTTCCTTCCCAATAGACTTACTAGTAAGACCACTGGGAACTTTGTACCCAGTAGACTTACCAGTAAAAAAGCTCCCAATAGTTCTACTCTTAAGACTTACCAGTAAAAAAAACTCCCAATAGTTCTACTCTTATGTAGATCTAGGTAATTGATAGAATACCTATATAGTTTGGGACTTGAATCTATGACCCAAGAAAAATCAAGAATCTTTCAGGTCGCTCAGAATTCAGCTGCATAAACACTGCTGCGTAGGTATTTTACACAGTTTCACTGCTTTATACAAAAGTAGTAGTATATAATAGTAGTACTCATGGTGCTTATTCTAAGTTTGGATTGACGGAATTTGAAAAAAGAGATGTTATAAATTTTAGTTTTTTTGATAATATATAATATACAATTTTCGCTTTGTCAAGCTTGTATTAAATACATATAAACGTTTATAAAATTATTATTTTGTAAGTAAATTTTGTTTAAAGTTTTGTAAAAGTACCAGGAGACCATACTTAACTAGGAGGCTGTGTTAATGCAAATGGTTGAAAACATAAGAATTGTTTGTCATTTGGAAAAATGTAAATATTATTTCTTTTTTTCTCTTAGACCTAATAAAGCTACTGATGATTGTCAATACTATCTTTTAAGAAGTCTATTTTTAAAAAAAATATGATAAAGTTAAACTAATGGGAAATAAATAACACCGATGAAGTCTTACTATCAGTAAGTCTATTGGGAAAGAAATTCCCTGTAGTTCAACTGGTAAGACTACTGGGAACAGGGGGAGACGTTAAATACACCATTATAAATGAAATGACGAAAATCTAAGACAAAAAATATCCAAGGACAAACGTCTCTACCAATTTTTGGCTATAAGCGAATTTTGGCTAAATCATAACTTATTTTTGTCTATTTAGACTATCTAAAGGCAAGTAAGCCTTTACCAGTACTAGAAATAGAAATGTGACGTTGAAGTGCCTATATTATTAATGATAATATAATTATTTTATTTTATTTGTGTATTTAAATAAGTGCCTAATGGAAATTTTAAGATACGATAGTTTTGAAATAAATTATCATTATTTTAACATCTTTTATTAATCTATTCACGTCCTATCACTATGGCGATTGTCACACTGCCACGCACTACGCTGCGAAGCGCGGGAGTACGTGTTGTTACGTTGCTTACAAATACCTCTCTTTGTATTGAAACCGCGTAGTGCAACATTTGGCAACCCTAGATTTAGTATTAGAGGAGACTGGCAAAGAGAGAAAAAAGATATCATGCCCTTAGGACAATCCTACAAAGTAGAAAGAGACGCAACATGATGTATCTTTGGTAAAGTAAAGTAAGAACCAACAGCGTCCTATCAAGCCGTACTGTGATAAAGTTTATTATGAAATTCTGTTAAACTAAGAAAACAATTGTGCCTAAACAATTGTACTCTGTCTTTCTTTAATTCCTATTGGTATCTATGAGTGCAACACATTCAAAATGCATTCCCGCGCAGTGTTGCAGATCACGCGCCTACGTGGAGAGAAACGAGTTAGTATGGCGAAATCTGCACGATGGATGATGAAGATCTGCATGCCGCAGCGTAGTGCTGGAGTGCATGTTCTTACATTGCTTACGAGTACCTCTCTTTCACTACGAGTTGAGTAACACACCAAAAATAAATTCACACATTCAAAAAGCATCAAAATCGTGACCGCAGCATGTAAGCCGTTATGGTTCATGATGATCAGCATGGTTTTAGGCGTGCTTTATCAACAGAAACAGCGATAATGACACACTGTAAGGTATTACACGGACAGGCGTACCACTGTATACGCCTGTTTCCTGAACCTAAGCAAACACCTTCAATAAGTAAGTAAGTTGGACGATGTAATGGTTACACCAACTTGCTAAAGGTTACCAAGTGAACTATGTGAAATGGTGGAACAAGTATTCCGAGCTATACAGGATGGAGTGTGGGGTGAGGCAAGGGGGACTGACCTCCCCAAAGCTCTTCAACCTGTACGTGGTATGCACTGATCAGGGAGCTCAGCAATATGCGTGTCGGTTGTCATATAGGCAATGTGTGCGTGTATAATATAAGCTATGCGGACGACATGGTTTTGCTGGCATACTCGGTTAATACAATAAGAGTATACTTGGAGTCTGTGAAAATTTTGCTGTTCCATATGGTTTACAATATCATGAAATCACAATTTATGGCTGGCTAGAAGTAAATGTCGTCCTAAATATCTTGGACATATCGTTACTGACAGCCTTAAAGCCGATTAATATATTGAGAGAGAACGCAGGGCACTGTAGGTCATGGCGAATATGTTGGCGCATAGATTTAGTCACTAAACAGATCCTGTCAAAATTACGCTTTTTAAAACATATTGCACACCTTTTTATTCATACAGCTCATGCTCCAACTATGTCAAAACGGCCTATAGGACCCTGCGTGTTCAATTTAATAACGCGTCTAGGGTATTGTTAAGGCTGCCGCGCTTTTGTAGCCCGTCCACAATGTTTGAGTTGGCTGGCGTGGATAATTTCGAAGCTATCATGCGAAAAAAGACCGCATCGTTATTATACAGATGCAAGGCAGCAGCTACAATGTCTTGAAAGAAATAATCGACAGTGGAAACTGTCCTCTGATCGGCAGTATGATAAATAAAACAATGTCACTGCTAGATATAAAATACTAACTCATTGTAATTTTAAGTTTGTACCTACTAACCAACGATATTAAATACCCTAGATACACCACGTGCGCTCAAAATGTGTCCCTATCAAGAAGTGCTTGAACACGATTCAAGCACTTCTTGGTTCACAGTCAGGCGCGGACCGTTGTAAAGTCAACATGCCGCTGAGCTCCGTGAAAAAATGCGAATTAAACCTTTATGGTATGTCAAATGTGGTTTTTTCGACAGGTATCTTTGTTAATATAATCAACATTTGTTAATTTAACGCATTTGAAGCAAATTTTGTTTTAATACTTACTATAAACTGATTTAATAGAAAATATTTGTGATATTTAAATGCATGGTCGGTAATATAGCTGTCTCCTTTCTCCGCGGATCGTACCTGCTATATTGCTAACAGAATTGCCCGTAGAGTCAAAGAAATAAGGTCTATATTCATCCACATATAGCAATAAGTCGTAAAATTTTACGAGCTTACATATCGGACTGTCATAACTCTTTGACGCATGCGTTTTAATTAATACCTTATATAGTGTGCTTTAAAGGTGATTTTCAATGTTTAAATAATGCCTTTTATTGTTAAGACTGCGCTATCATCTTACGGAGCTCCGTGGATCATTCAATGTACCTTTTGGACAGGTTTCGGGCATGATTTTGTTCGTGTTGGTGTATCTAGGGTATTTAATATCGTTGCTACTAGCTCATTATGGATCAAAGTTATTGGCAATAAATCATGTTTTATATATATTTATTTATACTTATATATATTATACAATTTCGAAGATGTACGTAATATTGACACTTTCATTTTACATAAAAAAAATAGGTAGATATTTTAAGATATTAGAACGGCAGACATGCTGTGATCACGTTTTGAGAGTTAATTGCAACGATATTAAATACCCTAGATACACCACGTGCGCTCAAAATGTGTCCCAATCAAGAAGTGCTTCAATTCCACTCAAGCACTTCTTGGTTCACAGTCAAGCGCGAGCCGTTGAAAGTCAAGATGCCACAGAGCTCCATGAAAAAATGCGAAAATTAACTAATAGTATGTAAAGCGTCGTTTTTTCGACAGGTACGTAAACAATGTTTGTTAATTGAACGCATTTGAAGAAAATTTTGTTCTAATACTTACTATTAATTGATTTAATAGAAAACATTTGTGATATTCAAATGCATGGTCGGTAATATCACTTTCAATAATACATTCGTAAGTGAAACACGTATTACTCATCCCTGTGTAGTTTTTAATAGAAGACTGTTGGAAAATTTGACATTTCATTGTGATTGTGTGAAAACATTGCTTGTTTTGAGTGCTTTCTTTTAATATAATAACAACTTTGAACCGTGAAGTATAAATATTTAAAAAGATAGAAACAGTGCCGATGCAGTGGGGTATCTCAATATTTTTTAAATAAATTTATTGAGCAGCGGAAGGCAGATTGTTTGACACTGGATTTATGAACAATAGTTTGTTGCGAGAAGCTTATAATTACGTTGGATGTAATTCATAAATTGGACAAGGACATTTAGTTCTCTGTGGCGCAGTGCGGTAGTGCCCAGTAGACTGCAATCGCTTTCTCAGCAGATCAGTGGTTCGATCCTGACAATCATATTTTTTTTTATTTTGGATTTTTTATCATTTTATTTTATTCTATTCAATAAAGTTGAACTTTGTCAGTGGAACTTTTACTAATTCTTGTTTTTTTTTAATATTTACCAAAACTTATATTGAAACATAAACAAATATGTATTCGTCTTTGCATCAAACGCCTCATGTGAAGGATTTGGAATGGGGGTGCTGCAAGTTAGGATACAACGGGGGTGCATATATTCAATGTACTAAATGCTTGAGGGCTTATCACTCAGCCTGTTTAGCTACTACCCAGATTGACCCTGTGGTGTCGAAAAACTCAACCTTTTTATGTCCTCTGTGCGGGGATACCCGGAAGGAGGTGAATAATGATAACACTCCAGTCCGTTTTTATACTAATAATACCTCAAGATCTAGCAAGAGGCAAGCATTAAACTCGCCACCAAATGAAAAACCAATCACAAGTGGTGAAATGCAGGAAATTGTCAAAGGTATGTTAACTTATTTGGTAGCTACAATGCGCAATACCATGGCTATATTTTAAATGAAGAACTAAAATCTGTGAAGCAAGAGTTGAAAGATGTGAAAGAATCGATGAGTTTCATGAATATGAAATATGAAGAAATCACACAGGAGCATGCTAAGATTAACGAGAAGATGAAATATATGCAAAATGATAATGAAACATTGAAATCAAAGTTGAATGACCTTTCAAATAGAGTGAATCAATTGGAGCAAAATGCCCGCGTTAATAACGTAGAAATTCACTGTGTCCCTGAGAAGAAGGATGAAAATTTAGTGGAAATTGTAGTAGAATTGGGAAAGACAATAAATTGTGAGATTGCCGTTGAAAATCTTATCCACTTTACCCGTGTCCCCAAAATAAATAAGGACAATGATCGTCCGAGATCAATAGTAATACAATTTGCGACAACTAAGGTGAAGCAAGCATTTTTGGCAGCCGCGATTTCATTTAATAAGGCTAATTCGAGTGACAAATTGAATGATAATGAATGATATTGAATGAAAAAAAAACGGAAAGATTGGACGTAGTAAGTAATTATAGACCCATATCTATTCTGTCAACGTTTGTGAAGGTCTTCGAGTCTCTCATTTGTCCTTTACTGCAGAATCATTTAAAACTTTATCTCACTGAAAGTCAACACGGTTTTGTTAAGAGTCGATCTACTGCTACAAATTTAGCGCTTTTTACAGAAACCTTGGTCGAGGCTTTAGATGCTGGCAAGGAGGTAGATGTGATTTACACTGATTTTAGCAAGGCGTTTGATAGGGTATCATATGAGGTACTTTTAGCTAAACTTAAGACCTTCGGAGTGGCTGGTCCTCTTCTTGAATGGTTTAAATCTTATTTGAGTGACAGAGTTTTCTGTGTCGTTGTGAATGGCTTCAGTTCGGCAACTTTTAACATAATTTCGGGCGTTCCGCAGGGCTCGCATTTGGGACCGGTTATGTTCTGTACAATGGACTCGTTCGCAGTTTGACTGAGTACTGTAGTGTGGTCTGGAGACCACACTATGCTGCTCATTCTTTAAAGATAGAGAGAGTACAAAAGAAATTTCTGTCTTACCTATCGTATAGCAACCGCATTTCGAGAACAGTTCGATCCTATGAAAAAAGATTGCGTTTCTTCGAAATAATTTCTCTCGAAAACCACCGGAAACTGTTAGACCTTTGTTTTGTTTTTAAGTTATTCAATAGAGAAATTGATTGTCCTCCTCTTATCGGAAAATTCGGATTTCGGGTTCCTCGTAGATATCCCCGATCTTC